GGGTCACTGTGGGTCGGAATTGACTCGACAGCACTTAGGAGTCCTGGTGTGGCGCTGTGGGTTAATGCACCAAACTGCAAAGCTGTTTGAACTGCGAGGTTGGTGGTTCAAGCTTAACCAGCTGCTCCTCGGAAACTCTACACAGGGTCGCTATGGGTCGGAACTGACTCAACGGCACTTCACAACAAAGGGAGATTAAATTTAACTGGCATGTCAAGATAACCGATTTAAGACAGTACCAACTAATAACTAATTAATTATCAGTTAATAACTGCGGTAGCTTCTTTTCACTTTCAGGATGGTGTTTTGAGTTTCTTAGCTTGCAGTCAGAGGTCTTTGAACGCCACTATCTAGTACTGTCTGCCTTAGCAGTGTCCTTGACATTGGTCTGGTTTCAGATCTGAGCCCTCACCTCTGGCTGGCTTGCCTTTTCTCTCTCATCCTGCCACCACGACCTCTACATGGCTGTGATAGACAATTAATGCAACATCCATTGTATATAATAGAGTTCTACAGAGGACAGTTCCAGGCAACTTAAAGGAGGCACGTAAAGCATGTTTCCTGAACTGAATTAAAAAGATAACCACCTGAAAGAGAGAGATTGCACTGGCTGTTATTCATAGCTATGGAAAATTTTAAGAGATGTAACATTATTTTCCTTGCAGAAGGGGAGGCATAAAAATACAATTATTAAATGATTGATAGTGACTAATTTCTCGACTTTGGACTGTCTAAGAAGAGCCTCTGGAGTGAATCTGTTTGTGACATCTATAGATGGACCTTACTGCTTCGATGTCCTGAGGCCATCCCTCCACCCCCTACCCCTTGGATACTGTGACCATCGTATTTACTCAGAACCTTAGAAGATAAATCTCGAACTTGGTTTGAAACAAGTTCTAGTTTTTTAGGATTCCCACATGCGATGACTTCCAAAAAGCTGGAATTGCCTATGTGGTTTCTTTAGCATTAGACACTACCTTGAATCTGGGAGTATAAGATAACCTTATAAAGTCATCATTCCAGAAAGTTGGAGAGGGCTGTCCTAATAAGAATCATGTTGGAGATGATGGTGATGTTGTGTGAAACAGAGAACTGCTCCCCCACTTTTGTACTGGGCAGAGGTGAGGCTAGGTGTATTCTTTTCAGGACTGCAATTACACCAGTTGTTGTTAAGTGCCGTCAAGTCGGTTCAGACCCATAGCGACCCTGTATAGGGTTTCAGAGGAACAGCTAGTGAGCTTGAACTGCCAGCCATACAGTTCAAATGGTGTTGCAGTCTGGTGCATTAACCCACAGCGCCACACCACAGGGCACACAAAATAAAGTCATGCCCAAGGTTTCCAAGAAGATGTCTTCTTGGTGCAGCGGGGAATAGGCATGACTGGAAGGCAATGCAGACGTCCTGAGGCTGTGAACAGGAGCATGAGTTTGTCACGGAGGAAAGGCTCACAGGAGAGATGTTGCCCTGAAGGCAGTGTGGGTGCCCTTAGGAAGCACGAGGGGGGAGCGACGCCCCAGACCATGGCGTCTTAAGATCTGTGTATCCAAGTACCTACAGATCTTATGATCTGTGTATCCAAGTACCTACTAAAAATCTTTCTACGTTTTCATATCCTTAATATGCCTAAGGAGTCCTTGTGTGGCGCTGTGGGATCCACACTGGACTGCTAGCCACAAGGTTGGCAGTTCAAATCCATCAGCTGCTCCTAAACTCTATGCAAGGTTGCTATGAGTCAGAACTGACTTGACGTCACTTAACAACAACAACAACAACAGTGTCCCTGCATCTGACAGGGACTGCTCCCTTTCCACCCCTTGCAGTTTGGGCCTCTCTACAGTGTCTAGCGTGTTATTTCTACTGGTGTCACCATTACCCCTACCCAGTAACTGGTGTCAGTGATTCAACTTGATTTGTCACTAAGCCTTTGACCATCCATGTCTAAGTATCCATCTAGGTCTAGCTCTCTAGCCCAAGTCCTACCTTCACATTTCTAACTGATAATGACCCTTTCTATTCTGAACTCCTAAGGAGCGCTGGTAGCGTAGTGGCTACAAATCGGGCTGTGAACTGCAAGGTCAGCAGTTCGAAACTCCCAGCTGTTCCACGGGAGAAACATGAGGCTTTCTGCTCGCATAAAGATTTACAGCCTTGAAAACCCTGTACAGGGTCGCTATGAGTCAGAACTGACTCCACGGCACATCGCCACCACCACCACCATTCTGAACTTCTAAACGAAGTGCCTGTACAACAGAGGCTACATACTCACGCCCCATCCCTTGGGTGGTTTGCTGTGTGTGTGTGTATGTATTTTATGTACACAATGAGAGGACCTTCTCCAGAGCTTGGGTCATAGCCTCCATAAAGGCTAAGACAGTGATTTCTGTGAGCACAGTGTGCAGCCAGTCAGTATTTATGGATTACTTTCACTAACAAGACCGTCTCTCTCTCTTTAATATATACAAGTGTGAGTCAAAAATTATTTGTACTGTAGTTATATGAAAACACCCATTCATGTCCATGACTACTGACAACACGGAACGTGCACAGGAAATGAGTCTGTCAGATAGACGTGTGACAGTGGACTCTGTGGCAAAGCATTTGCAAATCAGCCATGGCTCTGCTTATGAAGCAATCCCAGCAGACTTGGGTTTTCAAAAGTCTGTGCAAGATGGGAACCAAAACAACTCACAGAAGAGCATAGACAGAAGCATTTGGACATCTGCAAATAGAATTTGGACCAATACTCGAAGGAAGGTAAAAGTTTCTTTTTGAAAATCGAGACATGCGTTCTCCCAGGAGCCATCAAGGCAAATGGTCAGGTCTCTTCAGGGCAAACACCCTTTTAAGACTAACACTCAAGGAGAATACATGAGCAGGCATGTGGGCTTGCTGCTGACCACATTGGGGGAAAACAGTGATGAAGTTGTGAGCTAAATCCAACCACATTCAATAGACTCCTGTTAACCTGGATTGAGACCTGGTTGGTCAGCAGTATGACAAGGCCGGGGGACTCCTGGGCCCAGGGACATGGCCACAGAGGATCAGAGTGGAATGTGAAGCTTCCAGCTGATAGGAAGTGAGGGGAGATGCACAAGAACACCCATACTTGCACATAGTACCCACTTGACCTGGCTTCAATGACTGGATGATCAGAACTCAATTAGAGGAAGAAAGAAGATGGAAAAAAGAGTAATCCACTACAATTTGATGAATTTGACCTATGCTTGTGGACGCAGTAGGGGAAAAGAGGGAACAAATCTTTACAGTGAGGATTATTCCCACCCCCTTGGTACACAGGTTCAACAGATAGGCTACTTAGACACTGGCGACCCAAAATGAGGGGGCTACAAAGGCAAGAAGTGACTGGTTTACAAGCTTTCATGAGGGAACCTAGTTCCAGAGGGTGCGGGGAAAGGTAGAATCTCCACTGAGTGGTTTCCAACCTGTCTGGATGGGGCTGATGAAAGGAGATGGGGATAGGACTTGGTGTTCAGTAGTGAATGATTGCTATCAGCACTGACTGTGAGGGTCGGAAAGGTAAAGGTAGAGGTTTTGTAACAAAAGGAAGGGATTGGTTGATTTCACAGTCCAGGAGCAGCAGTCCCTGGGACCATCAAAGGAGAAGAACGGAGTACTGGACCCTATCTGGCGAAGCAGTGATGGCCAGAGATGGAGGCAGAGATGATAACTTGGAGAGATGGAGTGGCTGGGGACTCTAGACTCAGGGAGGGAGAGGGCTCTGTGGTTATGGTCAGGGGGCAGGCTTGCAGGGTGTACCCTTTGGTTATTTGATGATGCACGCAAGAGATTGTAGTCATTGCAATGAAAGAAACAAGAAAGGATGAATGTAAAGCTAATGTTCTCTTATGTAAATCATCACCTAATTCACAATAAAAACTTTGAAAAAAAAAATTGAGACATGGAGTCAACACTACAAGCCTGAGAGTAAAATGACAGAGTATGGAATGGAGACATCCTTAATTGCCAACCAAAAAGAAGTTAAAAAGTCAACTATCAGCTGGAAAATTGACGGTTACAGTTTTCTGGGATTTTCAAGGGCCAGTATTGTAACCCTATCAGGAGAAAGGTTCAGTAATCACGAGTGCTCACTACAGTGACATACTCACTGAAGAGCTGAAGCCTAAACTTCGGATAAAATGCAGAGCACTACTATGCAAGGACTTTGTGGTCTTGTGTGACAGTGCACGTCTAAACACGTCTGCCCACACTTAGACATTCTGCAAAAACTTCATTTTGAGGCTAAAACATCCTCCCTCTAGTCCTGATCTTGCTCCATTGACTTTTACCTGTCTGGTCCCCTGAAAGCAGCCCTTTCAGTTCAGAGATTCCCCTCTGATGGAGAAGTGAAGACAGTGGTGCATTCATGGCTCTCAGCTCAGCCTAAGACATTTTAAAATGAGAGAATGTGAAAGTTTGTTGACAGATGGACAAAGTGTATGGAAAAGTTAATGAGATGATGTTGAAACTGATGTATTTATCTTTTCTAAAAGTTGATGAAAGTAAATTCTATAGCCAGAGTGAGGATAATTTTTAACTTTACTCAATAATTCAATTTCTGTTTTAAAAACTGTGTTCTCTGAGTTTCATCTTTAACTGCATGAAGACTTTTTTTTTTTTTCTAGCAACTTGATGCGATTTTGCTGATTAATAGAGCTTAACTTTTCATTTTTACTTAGAGAGTTTATTCCTTTATAGGTGAGGAATTCTTTCAATGTGCGTGGTACTAATAATGGCTATTTTTGGAAATATCAGCGAGAACATGCCAAATGCCATCAACTACTCAGACATTCTTTTGTCACTGAAAAGGTTTATAAGTTGAAACGTGTCACAGCTTGAGTTGGATTTAAGATGGGTTCGTTTGATTCTTAGCTTTTCAGATATAACCATTGAAGAACAAGAGTTTTTGGTTCAACTTAAGACAAGAAGTTCGGAATTGGTGTGCCTCATGGTCTCAGGGCATGTCTTGTTTCTCACACAGGCATTAACCTGTAGAGGAGAACTGCTTACCCTCCTCCTTTCACTCCTCCCAGTGGTGTGGAGGATTCCTGTTCAAGAAGAGAAGGCAGCAGGTAGGTTTCTGTCCTATAACCGATCACTTGCTTTATCAAAATTTCATTGGGGGAAAATCCTACTAAAAAGTCACTACAGCTTCAGCTTCAGAGCAGTGTACGCAAGGGGACTTCGAAGAGCTTGTGGAAAGATGTCACTGTCTTTTCATTCCATTTTTCATGAACTCTTTGAAGTCCCCTCAAAAAGCAGTTTATTAAATACTTCATATGAAAAATTATGTAAGCAAACGTTTCTATTTCTCCTAAGAATACAAAAATTATCATGCTTCTTTGATGATCTAAAGGTAGTGGCTGTTAGAAATGATATGAAGAAGCACAAGATGAATCAAAAGTGCTAATGTAGAGCAATAACATAGTAGCATCAGAGATGAAGAGTGAGATGTTTCAAAGGAAATGTTTCAAAGACAGCTGTGAAGTACCAGTACACAAATGATTTTTCAGTGTTTGTTTCAATTTCGTTTTTCAGTGTTGCTTTCAGAGGATGTATTTGAAGAAATATTTTTTGAATTGTTACATTTAAAGCCAATATGTATTTTAAAAGTCTATTTCAATGTAAGGATTAACAGTTTTCTCTCTTGACCATTTCTGGGATTTGTGAACTGTGAGATAGCTATTTTGATTTAAATCTTGTGTTATAAAAAATTCTTCTATATTGTTGTTTAAAGCCATGAATTGAATTTGTAATAAATTTCTGCTATGAGCAGTGCTTTTAAAGGAATTATCTAAGCACTTGTAATAATTATTTCTTGTTGTTTTTGTTGATTCACAATGTCTCTGGTCATTTTTTTTTTCTAAATTTGTAGAATTCACAAATTGTTAATTACTTAAGAAATCTAGTTCATTTTTTTCAAGTTACCTGACTCTTTTACATAGGTGGAATTGGTCAGACTTGATTTGGAGGTGGTGGTTATGTGCCGTGAAGTCGGTTCCGACTCATGGAGACCCTGTACAGGGTTTCCAAGGCTGTAAATCTTCACGGGAGCAGAAAGCATCATCTGCCTCTGGTGGAACAGCTAGTAGTTTCGAACTGCTGACCTTAAGGTTCGCAGCCGGATTTGGACTTGTTTTGCTCCCTCCTTATTCATTTTGTTCTTCTCTTAATTAAAGCACCAATCTTTCATTTCTAATTTTTATTTTATTACTTTTAAATTGCAACATTATTTTGCTATAGGTATATCTTGTTGCAAAGGGAAAGACCACTTTCAATACCTTCTTGGTCAATGAAGAGGACTCACTCTTGCCTCCTAGAAGTGGTTTCTGAAGGCCGACCACATGCCGGGCCTTGTTCTGAGGCCTGAGGAAGGAACAGTACTCCTGGCACCTGGTCCTAGTTCAGTGCCCCACCCAGTAGTGTTCCCGAACTCTTTTCACCTCAATTTTGGAGAACATTTGAGATATATTGTATGCTTTTGAAGTGATTTTTGGAAAAATCTTAAAATTCTCAATTTATATCAGGATTATAAATTATGTTTGAGAATACAAGTTATCCCTGTAACTTATTTAGTTACCTGATTGGAAGAGATTTTGTAAAATGGCATGAGCAATAATTTAAATATCAGCTCATCTAAAGAGTGTCTTGCATTGGAGTTAGAAGGCTATCTGTGTTTTTAAACCAGGTTTACTTTCCTAGTTCTGTTTCCCTTAATTGTTTTCCAGATCATCTTGTGTTCTTTGAGTTTATGCCACCTGTTGTTTAGAGCAAGCAGAAAACTGACCCCAAGACATAACAAATAGTGAAAGGAAACCAGTCTTGAATTAAAAGTATACTGAGGATAAATTCCCAAAGTCAGTAATAAATAAGGGAATAGTCACCTGTGCAAATGGCATTGCTAAGTGTATTGAAGAATTCTAAATTTTCTTTCTTTATTTCATTAGATTTTAATCTACTGTTCTCAGTTGATATAATACCAACCAAAGAAAATAACTCAAGTTCACAAAGATCTACTCAGGAAAAATTTCATTTAGAAGGCAGTTTTCCATCTGATCATGTTTCTGCAAAAGTGAACATTCTTCAAAAAGGCAGACGACAGCGCAAAATTACCCATCGCTATTCTATACGAGATGCAAGGAAAACACAGCTTTCCACTTCAGACTCAGAAGCCAATTCAGATGAAAAAAGCATAGCAACAAATAAACACAGGAGGGCCCATCTGCCACATCAGTTTGTAGCCCAGCCTCTTAAAGAGGACCACCTTACAACTAACGTCGACCACTTAGCAACCAAAGAACAGACCCACCCTGATACCATGGCTTTAGAAAGTTCCAGAGAGGTTATTCTCAGACAGGCGCCAGACACTGACATTTTAAGTGAACCAGCCGCCTTGTCTGTTATCAGCAACATGAACAACTCTCCATTTGATTTATGTCATGTTTTGTTATCTTTGTTAGAGAAAGTGTGTAAGTTTGACATAACCTTGAATCATAATTCTGCAATAGCAGCCAGTGTAGTGCCCACACTGACTGAGTTCCTAGCAGGCTTCGGGGACTGTTGTAGTCTCAACAACAGTTTGGAGACTCAGGTGGTTTCTGCAGGCTGGACTGAAGAACCTGTGGCTTTGGTCCAGCGGATGCTGTTTCGAACGGTGCTACATCTTATGTCGGTAGGTATAAGTACTGCAGAGACCATGCCAGAAAGTCTAAGAAAAAATTTAATTGAATTGCTTAGGGCGACTTTAAAAATTAGAACTTGTCTGGAAAAGCAGCCTGACCTGTTTGCACCAAGGCAAAAGAAAACACTACAGGAGGTTCAGGAAGATTTTGTGTTTTCAGAGTATCATCATAGAGCCCTTCTGCTGCCTGAGATCCTGGAAGGAGTTCTGCAGCTTCTCATCTGTTGTCTTCAGAGCGCAGCTTCGAATCCCTTCTACTTCAGTCAAGCCATGGACTTAGTTCAGGAATTCATTCAACATCATGGATTCAGTTTATTTGAAACGGCAGTTCTTCAAATGGAATGGCTAGTTTTAAGGGATGGAGTCCCTCCTACTGAGGCCTCAGAACATTTGAAAGCCTTAATAAATGGTGTGATGAAAATAATCAGCACTGTCAAAAAAGTGAAATCAGAACAACTTCATCATTCGGTGTGTACGAGAAAGAGGCACCGACGCTGTGAATACTCTCACTTTATGCATCACCACAGAGATCTCTCAGGTCTTCTGGTCTCAGCTTTTAAAACCCAGGTGTCCAAGAGCCCATTTGAAGAGACTGCCGATGGAGATGTTTATTATCCCGAGCGGTGCTGTTGTATCGCAGTTTGTGCTCATCAGTGCCTGCGCTTACTGCAGCAGGTGGCCTCGAGCACTACCTGTGTCCAGATTCTATCGGGGCTTCACAGTGTTGGAATATGCTGTTGCATGGATCCCAAATCTGTCATCATTCCTTTGCTCCATGCTTTCAAATTGCCAGCACTGAAAAATTTTCAGCAGCACATATTGAATATTCTCAATCAACTTATTTTGGATCAGTTAGGAGGAGCAGAAATAGCACAAAAAATTAAGAAAGCAGCTTGCAATATTTGTACGGTTGATACTGATCAACTGAACAAGTTAGAAGAGACCCTGCAGAGGAATGAACATGATTCTGACCCTTCATCAGGTTTGTCCAGTCCTCGTTACAGATTCCAAGGGATCCTACCCAGCAGTGGGTCGGAAGACTTCCTGTGGAAATGGGATGCATTAGAGGCTTACCAGAACTTCGTTTTTGAAGAAGACAGATTGCATAACATACAGATTGCAAATCACATCTGCAATTTAATCCAAAAAGGCAATGTAGTTGTCCAGTGGAAATTATATAATTACATATTTAATCCCGTGCTCCAAAGAGCAGTTGAATTAGCACATCACTGTCGACACCTAAGTTTGACTTCGCCTCGAACTCATGTGTGTCGCCATCACAGGCAGTGTCTGTCTAAGGAAGTGCTTCAGATTTACTTAAAAACTCTGCCTACCCTGCTGAAATCCAGGTGGGTATGTGCATGCTCTTAGTGGATGGTTTTGGATGTGTGATAAAGAATGCATTTGAATTTGTAGCCTTGTTAGTTCCAGGGCCTCATCATTAGCATGACTACCCTTAGTTTTTATCCTTTCTTAGGATTTAATTTTAGTTTAACAACAGAAAAGTTGTTATTTCTAGACCTCCCGTTGTCAGAATTAATTTTTTTTTAGTCATCTCTCTTTCTCTCCCTCTTGCTGTCTACCTACCTACCTCTCTATCACTCTACTTCCCTCCCTATTAAATCTGTATGTATGTCTTTCTGTCTGCTTTATCTTTCTGTCTGCTTTTGCTTGGAGGGTTATAAAAGAAATCTTAGAGCCATTGATTTTTAACTTCCTAGTGAAAAAAAGTCAAGTTGAATATATTCTAAGGAAAAAAAAACAAAAAACAGAAGCAACATAGATATGCAACAGTGGGCAAGGTTAAGCAAGTTTTATTTACTTTTTGGAATGTTATTTTTAGCCATAAAAAATAATCCTTATAAAGATTATGTTGGAATATGAAAACATGTTTATATAATTCATGGGTAAAAAGTACAAAATTAAAAATGTGGTGCACTTATTTGTAACTATAAAACATGTAATGTATAAAAAAATAATTATTTGTAATAGTAGAATTGACGTTTGATTGCTATTTTCAAATATCATATTGTATTTAAGTACCTAAACAATATATGTTGAAAAATTAGAAAATACAGATTAGTTAGAAGAAGCTATTTCCTGTATTTCCACCAGTGCATTCCTAAACTTTGTATTTGTTAAATTCAGTAAATTTAAAATATAACTTTATGAACTATTTGCTTTTGATAAGTAGCCTGACCTTTCAGACTGATGTATATGCCATTTAAACACTTATATTAAAATAGAACACATCATCATCAGATTCATTTGTGGCATTATTTGTCCATTTTAATCCCTTAAAACTAATATTAATATTAAATCCTTGCCTCACAATCTTTTTTTTTCTCCAGTCATTACTTGTTTAACCAGAACTGAGTTTGATTTGAAAGTTTTATAACTGCCTGGCATGTGTGTGGATAACCTGGCTCTTTGCAAAACAAGACTGAGGGTCATATTAAAGTTATCGCTAGAATTCCAGTGAGGTGGGGCTCCTGGACTCGCAGTTTGAGACAGAGCTGATCTTCTTCTTCAGCTCTGTAATTTGATGCTTTCCCTTTATTCATGCAGATCTAACACAAGCAAAGGGCCTTGAAGGAACCAAACAGACAAACATGGTGATAATTGGGGCATTTCAAATTTGTGTAGAATTTACCATTTGGAAAAAAATAATTCTCTAAATTGCTTTAATTTGGGACGCATGTAGTCCTTTCTTGTTAAATGCATGTATGTATGCAGTGTTTGAAGAAGGACGTGTAAAGTAACTAGAGGTTCTGGTCATATATCATTAAGAACTGTAGATAGATAACTGATGAATCGAAGTAGGTTTATATACCCACATGCAGTAGAGATGTATTCAAATAATAAATATTCATATTTATACGTATTCATTCTATATGTAAATCTTATATATTTTTTTTCTCTGACAGGGTAATGAGAGATCTGTTTTTAAGTTGTAATGGAGTAAATCAAATAATTGAATTAAATTACTTAGATGGTATTCGAAGTCATTCCCTAAAAGCATTTGAAACTCTGATACTCAGCCTAGGGGAACAGCGGAAAGCAGCTTCAGGTCTGGGTACTGATGGGCTAGACACCGAGCAGAAGGAATCAGCATCTTTCAGTGTGGCCACGCCTTTTCATGACCAGCCAGTCTATTCAGAGTCTCCTCAGAGTCTCAGCAAATTTTATACTGGCCTCAAAAATGCTTATCCAAAGAAATGGAGGGCTGTTGACCAGGATGTCCACATCAACACGATCCACCTCTTTCTCTGTCTGGCGTTTTTATGTGTGAGCAAAGAAGCTGAATCTGATAGGGATTCTGCCAATGACTCAGAAGATACTTCTGGCTACGACAGTACAGCAAGTGAGCCTTTGAGTCATATGCTTCCGTCTTTATCTCTCGAGAGCCTGGCCTTGCCTTCCGCCGAACACATGTACCAAGCCGCGGATATCTGGTCAGCGTGCCGCCTGATCTACATGTTGAATTCAGTGTTCCAGAAGCAGTTTTACAGGCTCGGTGGCTTCCGAGTGTGTCATAAGTTAATATTTATGATAATACAGAAGCTATTCAGAAGTCATGACGAGGGGCAAGAAAAGATGCAGGAAGGTGTAAATGTCAATGAAAGCCAAGATTTAAGCAGAACCTGTCAATCTGAGATAGCTATGGAGGAAGATTTACCATCTTTGACTGTAAAAAGTGACCTCGGTCCACCAGAACTGTGTAGTCTGAAAGAGAGCATGGATGATTTTGGTAAATTGGAGCCACAGCACACTTGTCGCACAAATGGGAAGCAAATTTCAACTAGTGAAGCGGCTCCCGAGGAAGCAAGTATACTTACAAGGCAAGAAACTGAGGCTTCACTTCAGAGCGTAAGACTCTTGGAAGCCCTTCTAGCCATTTGGCTCCACGGCGCTAGGACTAGTCAACAAAAGGTGGAGGTGGAATCACTGTGTCAGGTAATCATCTGTCTTTAGCCCCACTGTTGTGCAATATGCATTTTATAAAGTGTCAGCTAAAATAGATTGCTCTGCTTTTCTGATGTGCTCTTATTCTGTGTAGTACTGTGGAGAACACGCAGAAGAATACCACCCGGTTCTTGACCTCAGTAAGTTTACTGTTTGTAGATGGGAATGCAAAATCCCATGTGCAGTTGTCACAGTCCTAAAAGAACACTTCTTGTTGTTGTTAAGTGCTGTCGAGTCGGTTCTGACTCATAGCGACCCTTTCTAGGGTTCCCAAGGAGCAACTGGTGGGTTTGAACTGCTGACCTTGCAGTCCAGTGCTTTATCCTGCAGTGCCACACCAGGACTCCTAAGAGACACAGTTGTTGTTGTTGTTATTGTTAGCTGCCATCCAGTCGGTGCCGACTTTATGGACAACAGAATGAAACACTGCCTGGTCCTCAGCCAACCTCACAATTGTTGCCATGCTTCATTGATGCTGCCATTTTGCCAGTCCATCTCGCTGGAGGTCTTCCTCTTTTTCTCTGACCCGCCACCTTACCAAACATGATATCCTTCTCCAGCGACTGATCCCGCCTGACAATATGTCCAAGGTATGAGAGAAGTCTGGCCATCCTGGCCTCCAAGGAACACTCTGGCTGCACTTCTTCCAACACAGATCTGTTGGTTCTTTTGGCAGCCCATGGCACTTTCAATATTCTCCTCCAACACCATAACTCAAAAGCATAAATTCTACGATCTTCCTTATTCACTGTCCAGATTTCGTATGCATATGAAGTTATTGAAAATACCATGGCTTGGGTCAGGCGCACCTTAGTCCTCAAGCTGACATCTTTGCTCTTCAACACTTTAAAAAGGGCTTGTGTAGCAGATTTGCTTAATGCAGTACGTTGTCTGATTTCTTGACTGCTGCTTCTGTGAGTGGTGATAGTTGATCCAAGAAGAATGAAGTCCTTGACAACTTCAGTGTTTTCTCCACTGATAAGAATGTTGTTTATTGGTCCAGTGGTGAGGATTTTTGTTTTCTTTACATTGAGATGCAATCCATACCGAAGGCTGTGCTCTTAGATCTTCATCAGTAAGTGTTTTAAGTCCTTTTCACTTTCAGCAATCAAGGTTGTATCAGCTGCATATCGCAGGTTGTTAATGAGTCTTCCTCCAATCCTGATGTCATGTTTTTCTTCATATAACCTAGCTTCTCGGATTATGTGCTCAGCATACAGGTTGAATAAGTATGGTAAAAGAATGCAACCCCGTCACACACCTTTCTTAATTTTAAACCATTCAGTGTTCCCACGTTTTGTTCAAACAACTGCCTCTTGGTCCACGTACAGATTCCTCATGATCACAATGTAGTGTTCCGGAATACTCATACGTCTCAATGTTGTTCATAGCTTGTCGTGATCCACACAATTGAAAGCCTTTGCATAGTAAAGCACAGGTAAACATCTTTCTGGTATTCTCTGCTTTCAGCCAAGACATCAGCAGTGATATCTCTCGTTCTACGACCTCTTAATTTGGCTTGAACCTCTGGATGGTTGCAGCCGTTTCTGTATTACTTTTAGTAAAACTTTACTCGTATGGGATATCAAAGAGATTGTCCGATGATTTTCGCATTCTGTTGGGTCACCTTTCTTTGGAATGGGCACAAATACAGATCTCTTCCAATCAGTTGGCTAGATAGTTGTCTTCCAAATATCTTGGCAGAGATGAGCGAGTGCCTTCAGTGCTACTTCACTTTCTTGAAAGATTTCAATTTTTATTCCATCAATTCCTGGAGCCTTGTTGTGGGCCAGTTCCTTTGTTGTACGTTAGACTTCCGCCTTCAGTGTCATTGGCTCTTGATCATGTGCTACCTTTTGAAATGGTTGAACATCAACCATTTCCTTTGGGTACAGTGACTCTGTATTCCTTCCATTTTCTTTTGATGCTTTCTGCGTCATTCGATAATTTGCCCAGAGAATCCTTCAATCATTTTGAGGCTTGAATTTTTTCTTCAGTTCCCCAGCTTGAGAAATGCTGAGCCTGTGGATTTCAGCGGTGAGCACTCTGAAGACAAGGTTTCCTCGTTTTCTGACTCCAGATCTTTGCACATTTCATTGTAATAATTTGTCTTTGTGTTCTCAAGCTGACTTTTGAAATTTTCTGTTCAGCTCTTGTAGGGCCTCATTTCTTCCATTTGCTCTAGCATCGCTACGCTGGAGAAAGAGTTTCAGGGTCTCTTTTGACATCCATTTTGATCTTTTCCTGCCTTCTTTTCTTCTTAATAACTTTTTGCCTTCTTCCTGTATGATATTCTTGATGTCATTCCCATAACTCTCTGGTCTTTGGTCTTTAGTTTTTAATGTATCACATCTGTTATTGAGATGATTTCTAAATTCAGTTGAGATATATTCAAGGTCATATTTTGGCTCTGTGGACTTGTTTTCATTTTCTTCCGTTTCAGTTTGAATTTGCATACAAGCAGTTGATGGTCTGTTCTACAATCTGCCTCTGACCTTGGTTTGGCTGATGATATGGAGCTTTTCCACTGTCTCTTCCTGCAGATGTAGTCAATTTGCTTTCTGTGTCTTCCATCTGGTGAGGTCCATGTGTATAATTGTATCTTATGCTGTCTAAAGAAAGTATTTGAAATGGACAAATCATTGATTTTGCAGAATGCCTTAAATATCAGATGAGTCGTAATGGTGCTTGTGCTTTCAAGTTGAAAGATTACAGTCTTGGTGTGATTCTAATGGGTGCCCTGCCTATCCCCTACACCAGACAGAAGCACCCATCTGCCGAGGGCTTGCATCTCCACCTGTCTCTGATGGATTGCCTTTGACGATGCCCAGGAAGGATAACCATAGGCAATAGCTGGTGATTTGTCACAGTGCAGGCTCCAGAGACTCACATGGGATTAGATGTGGCTAGTCTTCTTCTTAAACCACATCTCTGCCTGGCTTCTTCCCATGACCTGTTTTATTTCCCTCATACTCTTACCAGTTTCTCCTTGAGAACACATTTCAGCGGTCAGTCTATCACTTACATAAGAATTTCCAGTCTTATCTGGGGAGACCCTCTCCACTCTTACTGACTCTCCTGCCCTCTCAGTCGGCAGACTCTCCCTACTCCAGTTTCAGTCCTTAACTGAAATCCACACTCCTTAACCTAACACAGCAACACCCTTCATTGTCTGGCTGTTGCTTCCTTGTTTGGCTTACTTCCTGCCAACCCTCACCGCTTGGAAGGCTCCAGACTAGGCTGACAGGTTCTCAGGGTGGCCTGCATTTTGATCCCTGTTCTTCTGGCAAGTGTGCACTCTCCCTTGCTTCCCTGTCTGCTGTTTTCCTACTTGACTTTCGCTGTGTACTTCATGCATCCCCTCCTCTGAGACACTTTGACAGGTCTCACAGGTACCATTTCAAATCATTTCTGTTCTCAGAGAATTTGTTTATTGCACCAGTATTGTAAACATACTGTCTTGTTTGTATTGTATCTGTTTCTTACATTGGACATAGAATTCCCTAAAGAGAAGGGAGTTTCTTATCCATTGGTCTCATCACTTGGCATGTGGATTTAGGCAAGCAGTAAGAGTTCCCTTCATGGACTGAAGGGAAGGCATAAAGAAGAGAGGGAGAGAAAAGGAATAGAAGGGATTCATAAAGCCCTAAGGAATCTCATTAAGAAAAAAGAATTTGTGAAATCTGGAGATAGTTAATCACAACTCTCTGAAGCTTCAAGAGAGCTTTTTTTTGTGTGTCTGATAAGTTTATACAGTTTCATTTATCTAAGGTACATGAAATTTAAAACCAAATAAAATGAATATTTGATTAAAAAAAAACATTGTTAATCCTCAGTGAGATATTTATGTGTGTTTGATATTTATACAGTCATTTTGCTTATTGTTAATACTAACGGTGAGATATTTATGTGTGTTTGGTATTTATACAGTCATTTTGCTCATTGTTAACCCTAACAGTGAGATATTTATGTGTGTTTGGTATTTATACAGTCATTTTGCTCATTGGTAACCCTAACAGTGAGATATTTATATGTGTTTGATATTTATACAGTCGTTTTGCTTTCAGATCAACTGCAAATACATGGGCTCACTTTCTACTTGTAAATATAAACTTACCATTTGTTTTGTCATTTCATTTTGTAAATTTGTATTATTAATATTCTTAATCTCTTGTATTTTTACTTTAGAACTTTTCTGTGGAAAATATATTGCTTGAAATGAGGGACCAACTTTCCCAGTCAAAGGTGATTGAAACAGAATTAGCAAAGCCTTTATTTGATGCCCTGCTTCGAGTTGCTCTGGGGAATCACTCTGCAGATTTTGAACATAGTGATGCTATGAATGAGAAGGTATGAGTAGCTCACATATACTGGGGGCAAGCAAATGACAATACTTTTGTTTGGGGATAACTACAGAGGCAGAGTGTGGTGGGGATGAAGACACTGATGATGTGATATAGGGACCAGGATGTCTTCAAGTGAGTGAGTGTGGTGGGCCCTAACAATCTCCTCTAGAATGGATAGTTTTTAGTCAGTCCCTATCTCATAAAACTTAGGTTCCATAGGAGAACGAGCTGTGTGCTTTTCTTCATCTAATCTGGAAAGATAAGGAAAATTACTCTCACCAAGACAGAAGTGTATCCTTGGATTAGAAAAGTCTTATACATAACTGATAGTGTGTTAAGTGATAAATTAGGGATAATGAGGACTAAGCCATCTTATCTAATTTAATATTGGTACAGATAATATTTCCAAAACCTTCTTCTTTCATTTTGAACCACTGAACATAAAGATGACCAGTATTCTTATAGAAAAGAGTAAGCATAGTTTTTTTTAGTTGTTTGTATTAGCATTTTTTTCTAAAAGAAATATTTTTTAAAAATGTATGAAACCTTGTAATACAGATTTCATTTCCCTCTTCTTTCATGCTTCCTTTACCTTTAATTAGTTGCTAGCTTTCCTGTATATATTGTCTCTCTCAATTCCATGATCTAGCTGTATGATGTTATCTAATGCTTTACCCCCATAGGATTTTATGTTACTGTTTGTCATAACTTAAGCTTATTGAAATAGCTTTTAATGCATTCATCGTATGTATCAGTTGGCTAATTGTTAAAAGCTGAAGTACTTAACTTTATTCTTCCTTTTTATTGATGTTGCAATGATAAAGTACCCCTTTAAGTGAAAATGTTTTCTAATGTGGAGGTATTAGTAAACATTTTTATAAGAAAAGGAAATTTCATGCTATAAAATATTACATATGAGGTTAATATGGGAGCTCTTGATTTCTGAGATGGTTGTATATAGACAATTGCATTGTGAAATCTTTTTGAAACATTTTCATGTCTCTTCTGGTTATCTAATATTTTTTCATAATGAAGACTTTATTCATAAAATTCATATGTAAAATATTTTCCATAAATAAATGCATATAAATATGTTTATCAGCATTAAGTTGTGTGGATTATAATTCCACCTCATTGTGGTGTTTAGTCATCATTTCCTATTCTGTAATTAGAATGAAATTTCTTAAATTGATTTATTTTTCAGTAAAACTGAAATGACCTGTAGTTAAGCCTTTTAGAAACCCCCTTTTCTCAAGTGTTAATCAAGTTGACTGGAAATTTTTGTGGGTGTGTTACCTAATTAATAATGGATCATATTGATTACTAAGATTTTTATTATAAAGAAAATATTGATGATGTACTTAAGTGATTTTTGAGTAATTAATATTATATTAGTAAAAAGGAGCACATTTTACAACTTTCACCTTTGGATTATGTTGATCTTAAAGAGCCACCAGTCTGAAGAGGAACTGTCTCCCCAGCCTGATGATTTTTCAGAAGCTGAGGACTCTCAGAGCTGTAGTTTTAAGCTTTTGGTTGAAGAAGAAGGTTATGAGGCAGACAGTGAAAGCAATCCTGAGGACAGTGAAAGCCAGGATCATGGTAAGGTATCACTGGAGCACTTGTGATTGGATTTGCAAGCCACATTGTCACTTTATTAGCAGCTGTCTGGCCTCACAGTTTAATAAGTGCAATTTCATTTTTGTTTCATTTGGTCTTTGCAGTAAATTCGGGCATTCACATATGCAGTTTAACACATCCAGGTCTATTTCCTTATCACGAGCATTGATTGAATGCCTAGGAATACAGGGATGAAGGAGAAAGTCCTTGTGTTTATATACATATTGTAATGGGAAAGACCAGCAAATACCAGAAATAAACAATATGAAGAAAATGCAACAAGGTGATGTGATGTGATTGGGCAGTCAGAGACAGCCTCTCTGACCAGGTGATTCCCATTAAGGCCTAGGCATGCAAACATTGGCAAGAAGGGCATTCCAGGCAGTTTGTTATAAAGATTACATAAGATAATGGATGCTGACATCTTTCTGTCACATCCAAAGATACTGCAGCATAGGCCCTTAGGTTGGAACTTCATTGCACTTGATCTTTTGTATCTAGGTTTAAAACTTGAGTAGAATGGAAAAGATGGATTAACTAGAATCAGATTTCTGGAAAGGCTCCATCCTTTTATCTGATGGCCTTGTGGCTATCTGAGCCCTGTCAGTCTTCACTAAGTTCCATAGTACTTTATTGTCCCAAAGTCGACTTTCTCTTTCCTATCAAAATGAAGGGGCCTTATCGATCCATAACAGATACTTTTTGAAAAATTATTGGCTTAATGGTAAGTTTGTTTTATCATAGTATAATGTTAGATTTCCTCCTTTTTATATTTTACATATCTGCTAACTAAAGCCCAATTAAAAAAATTCTGGCCTAGGTAGAAATTTGCTCGTTTCTTAACTACATCTACTCTGCACTTAAGTAGTGCTGGCAGCGTAGTGGTTACAAGTCGGGCTGCCAACCTCAGACTTAGCAGTTCGAAACTACCAGCGGCTCTGTGGGAGAAAGATGAGGCGTTCAGCCTTGGAAACTCTGTGCAGGGTCACTATGAGTCGGAACCACCTCCACGGTACTTAACAACAACAACTCTACACTTAATAACCATCTGACTACCTGACATTTTGAATTATAGCCATATTTTAAAATTGGCTAACTTATATTTTGTGCATTAGTGATGTGATTCTGGCAGTACCGAATGCTGAGGTATGAGTCAGTGATGGTTAAGGTCATGTGTCAGCTTGGCTGGGCAGGGATTCTCAGTGGTTTGGCAGTTATGTAATGATGCAATCATTTTCCATTTTGTGATATCATGTGGGTATTCTTCACTTTTACATAAAACTGATTCTTGGAACCTAACCATGTCGGTAAATGAGGGATGAGTACATGAACATCAAAAATAAAACCAACCAAAAAATCCTAGTAGTCCCTTTAGGAGCATACCAGCCAAATTTTTCAAAGATTTTCAAATTAAGTGAGACAGTCTCTGTTCTCAATATGAATAAGACAAAGTATATAATTCACTAAACCAATAGCCAAACTTACTTTCACATATATATAAGTAGGCATATTTACCCACCTTATGATTTAGGTATTTTGGCGTCAGAACATTTGAAATAGTATTTTTCCCCCACAGTTGTATTGGAGGAATATGGTAAACCTGTATTATGGTAGATCAATTCTATGAAAATTACTGTTGATATTATTTATAGTTCTAGAGAATATAAAAATTACTGTGAAAACTACTCACTACTCTTCAAAATATCCATAAGACTTGGTTGTTCAAGATACATACATAAACAAAAGTCATCTTCTAGAAAAAGCTTTTGTGAGCATCTTTTTGCAAAATAGCAATTTTTTTTGTTGCCACTAGATCTTCTAAATGATTAATAACGTTTGAACTATTTGGTGTGTAGGGAATAAAAATACTCTTTTCTTTTTCCCTTTTCAGTGGTAGACTCTAAGTCTGAGACAGAAGGTTTAAATGCATCAGACTTTCCAAATTACTTCCTTGAAAACCTCACTCAAGGGGAAATAATATATCCTGAGATTTGTATGCTGGAATTAAATTTACTTTCTTCTAGTAAAGTCAAACTTGATGTGCTTGCCCATGTCTTTGAGAGTTTTTTGAAAATCATCAGGCAGAAAGAAAAAAATATTTTTCTGCTCATGCAACAGGTAAAAGATGCTTCTAATTAAATGTGATTAATATTTATTGGATTTGCCCTCTAATTATTTCCATATTTATAACCCAATTTGTCTGAAAATTACTTGAGAATAACCACTTATCCTTTATGATACCTTAAGTGTGTTTTTATATTTGAACTTTTCACTATGGTTTGGGTAAAAGCTGACAGGGCAAATTCGTTTTCCATTCTACAATCTGTATATGTTTTGTTTCCTGACATTGGTTGTAGTCTCTTCAATATAGCATCACTCTTCCCACTTCCTCCCTGGGTTTCCTGTTTCTATTCATCCTTCTTTCTTGCCCCTTCTGGCCTTCTGAGTTTTGCTTTTGGACAAATGCTGCCCTTGTGGTCTTGTATGGTTAATTGTATTAAGTATGTTTTAATCTGCAAAAAGTTTTTAATTCCTTAAGTTAATATAAAAAATTTAATGTTCTCATTGGTTAACCAGTGATAGATTCTGATGTATTTCTGAGAAAGAGTAGCATTTGAAAAATTGCATTTAATTTTAATATATGCTCATTATTTTTAAAAAGTTGTCAGTTTTCAACAAGTCAGTTGTGACTGTTAGTGACGCTGTCTAGGGCTTCTGAGGAGTGGCTGGGGGGCTTGAACTGTGGATCTTGTGGTTAGAAATCCAGTGCTTATCCTGCAGTGCCACCCAGGACCCCTTTAATAAATTAGGAAATACAAAAACGTTATGAAAAAGAAAATGGAAATTTTCTCTGATCTTACACATAACATTCTTTCCAGTCATTTTTCATTGCATATTTGCAAATACAGTAGACATTTATTAAATAAATAATTTACAAAACATTAAAGTTACTTCAGGCTTTCATGAGATAAGAATTTTTTTTTTTTTTTTTAATTTTCAGGGAACTGTGAAAAATCTATTAGGAGGGTTCTTAAGTATTTTAATTCAGACTGAAAATGACTTCCAAGGTAAGTTGAAATTGTGAATTTGAAATATTAGTATTGATTTTCTTATAATGTGAACTGAGAAGTTGATGATAGCTTTCACTGGCATGCTGCCTTGTGTTTTTAAAAAAACACCTTCATTTGCATTATCTCATTTGTTCCTCAGAACCACAGAGTAAGGAGACACACTGTAAACAGCTCTACTTTATAGAGAGGAAAAGCTAGATTCCAAGGGATAAAGTCAGTTGTTGAGAGTCACTAAGTAAAGGGGTTGTAGCCCTTCACCATTATTGTATTGCTGCCTTCCTTACCTGCTACTGAGTGAATGCCTACTCTTAGTACTTCCTCAAATACTTGAGAGATTCATAATGGATATAGATATATGGATATTGTTGTTAAATGCCGTCGAGTTGGTTCCGACTCATAGTGACCCTATGTAGGGTTTCCAAGGAGCAACTGGTGAGTTTGAACTACCGACTTTGTGGCTCAAACCAGCCCTGTGGTCGAGTGCTTATTTTAGCGCGCCATACCAGGACTCTACATATATATGTATGTAAATATCATTGTCCTTAAGTGCTGTGTAGTCGGTTCTGACCCATAGTGACCCTGTATAGGGTTTCTGAGGAGAGGTTGGTGAGCTTGATCCGTCGACCTTCTGGTTCAAACCGACTTTGCAGTTCAGTGCATTAACCCACAGCACCACACCAGGACTCCTCATATATGGGTTAGTGCTCTGGACTGCAAAGTTGGTTTGAAATGCAAAGTCCATGGTTCAAGTTCACCAACCTCTCCTTGGAAACTCTATATGGGGTCACTATGGGTCAGAGCTGACTCGACATCACTTAGCAGCAACAGCAATAATATATTTATCCATGCCCCCTTTTTGATATGAAATGGTTTTGAATTGAAAAATAATTAAGCATACACACTTTACTTTGATCCTATTATTTCCCTACTTAAAAATTTTCCATGGATTCATGTTAATTACACAGAAGAGTCCATGCTATTTTATAGTCTCTCTGCAAGTTATCTTTCCAACTATAGCAAATATGCACTATTACATCAACTCACTGCATCTACAAAATGTGTTGCTTAAACAGGATTCTTATTCTTGGACTTCCAAGTCTCCTGAAATTCATCCTTCAAAAGACATCTCAAATTCTTTATAAGTATTTTTTTTTTGTCATCTCTGAAATGGAAATAATAATTTGTGGGGTGTGTGTGTGTGCATATGTATATGTGTGGATCAGCTGAGAAAATACATCTATGAAAATACTTTGGATACTATAATATGTTCTAAAATGATGAGTTGTTATTCTGCTCTAGAAATGTGAACCATCATTTAGATTTTATGCTAAATCTTCTGATAGGAAAAAGATACTGTTCAAATTAAATTTTTGTGGTATTTAAGTATTTAAATAATCATTAATATTTCCAGTTTTATTTCTGTCACCTAATTTTCTATTTAGAAATTGATCGTTATGAGTTAAACCTTTTCAAGATGAGAAGGTTACAAATGGTGTTGTATCTAATCAATTATTTATTTAGTTAACAAGTACTGTGTTGGTTTACTTAACCTATCTTTAAGAAAAAGGTTTTGTTGCTGCTGTTTGTCTGTTGGATGGTAATTTTACAGTTTTTTATGCTGCTATTTTTTCAGCCAGTTTTGGAATTATTAGATTGTTTATAATCCAGTCAAGATGTGACAGTAGTCTTTGATTTGTTTCATTGCAGTATATAATAGCTTTAATTTGTCCTCTCTGTCGTGGTTTAATTTTAGCTTGCCAGAGCGTACTGGTGGATCTTTTGGTGTCTTTGATGAGCTCAAGAACATGTGCAGAAGACTTAACCCTTCTTTTGAGAATATTTCTGGAGAAATCTCCTTGTACAGTAAATATGCCATAGCTATTATTAATAGAGACTCCTGGTGTGGCGCTGGGGGTTAATGTGCCAGACTGCAAAGCCATTTGAACTGCAGGGTCGGTGGTTCAAGCTCACCAGCTGCTCCTTGGAAACCCTATACAGAGTTGTTATGGGTCGGAATTGACTCGACGGCACTTAACAACAACAACAATTATTAATAGAATTTATTTTAAATTATCTGGAAATCATTAAGCTCTCACTTTTTATGTCATAATTGTTATACAGTCAGTTCAATGTTGTTGTCTGTCAAGTACTCAATTATATTATTATTTGCACATATTTTAGCTCCATTTTTACTTCTGTTTTGGATAACCAGACATATCGAGATATAGTCTCTTTATCCTACCTCATCTTAAATCTTTGTGTTTAAGGAATAGTATGATTTTTATTACTAAAGAGAATTTGTTATTGTTGTTAAGTGCCAGCAAGTCTGTTCTGACTGATAGCAACCCTGTATAGGGTTTCCGAGGAGCAACTGGTAAGTTTGAACCGCTGAGAACATACCAATAAGCACTTATCATTATTTTGGGGATTAATTAGCCTTTAACAGAAATGCTTACATATTTTTCAATGATCTTATATCACTTATCTACTTGTTGCAGTTTGTTGTTGGTAATGTTGTTAGCGGCCATGGAGTAGGTGCTTGGGACATAGAGACCCCATGCGCAGTGGAACGAAACACTGCCCAGTCCCGTACCATCCCCATTATGGACTGGGCCCTGTAACCCAGGGCGTTCTCACTGATCCATTTTCAGAAGTAGATGACCAGGTCTTCTTCCTAGTACATCTAGTCTGGAAAGTCTGTCCACAGCAGCTCCCACTGGAGCACTGGCACTAGCTAGGACTCGCACTCACGTGGAAGCAAGGATTCTACTGTGGAGCCATCTGGTGGTGCTTTTCAGTGCCGTGGAGTCGGTTCTGACTCATAGCAACCCTGGTAGGGTTTCAAGACTGTACAGTTTCACAGAAGCAGAAACCCTCATCATTTTCCTGCTGAGTGGCTGGTGGGCTCCAGCTGCCAACTTTGTGCTTCACAGTCCAGTGCTTATCATACAGAGCCACCACACTACCACTGAACTGTATTAGTGACTCTGAAACTGTTCTTGGCGGGGAATATCATTTTCATAATGAAAACTTGACTGGAAGCAAATCAAATGAAGAGTCCTTGAAGCTTCTCTTGTTTGAAGCAGGATGGGAGGTTCCCGAGGCCTGCCTCCATCAGTATCCCACTCCAGTCCCATGGTCCTTGAGAGACTTCTGGAACGCTGTTTAAAAGCCACAGTTGTAGGTATTTCGGAGTCCTGGTGTGACACCGTAACTAGACTACTAACCAGAAGGTCGGCGTTGTGTGGGTTGCTGAGAGTTGGAAGCAACTCAACAGCACTGAACAACAGCAACAGCAGGAACAACACTGTAGATACCTGAGAATTGACTGATCACATGGAATACATCTGTCACTAGAGTTTGTTTCTCATTATTATAATCACCTCTGTGCATGAGTCGGGTATTGTGTTCCAAGTTCATTTTTTCTATGTTCTTATGTCTCCCTAGTCATTAAATAGTAGTGCGGTGGCTCCGTACAGTAAGCACTGGACTGTGAGCCACAGTTAGAGCCCACCAGCGAGCGGCTCCAGGGAGAAAGATGAGGCTTTCTGCTTGCGCTGATTTACAGCCTCGGCTACTCTGAACATGGCTGTTTTGATTCAGAACCAATTTGATGGCACTTAGCAACAGGATTTCATGAAATAATTAAGAGCAGTGCTACAGTCTACTGGGAGAGAAACCTCTTTCCTTTGGTAGAAATGATTCCTTAAAGTATTCGTTTATAATACTTTAAGCCAATTCATAAATTTTAGATTTTTCTTTTAGCATATAAATTTAAAGTGAATGAGCTCTAGGAGATTATACATCTTAAAAATGAAATTTCTGTTTCACATTTTACTTTAACTACATAAAAATGAAATTTTTAATGCTATGGTAGATAAGGAAGTGTTGAAAAATACTAATGATGTGTATGTTTGTATTTTCATTTGTAATGAAATTCAAATCTACTTTCCTTTTGCTCTAGGAAATTCTTCTTCTGGGTATTCTGAAAATTGTTGAGACTGACATTTCTCTGAGCCCTTTACAGTATCTAACCTTCCCTTTATTGCACACCCCAAATGTAAGCAATGGTGTTCTGTCGCATAAGTGCTCTGGAATTCTGAACAGCAAGGCCCTGGGGTTACTGAGAAGAACGCGGGCTTCACGAAGCAAGAAGGCAGCAGAGAGTGAAGGCTTTCCCCACCAGCAGCTTTCCTCTTGGCATGTAGCCCCACTCCACTTGCCATTGCTGGGCCAAAACTGCTGGCCACACCTGGCAGAGGGCTTCAGTGTGTCCTTGTGGTTTAATGTGGATTGTATCCATGACACTGAGAAGCCCACAGAAAAAGCAAAGAAGATCAAGAAAAGAAGCAAATCAGTAGTTGGATGGGAGAGCAGTTTTGAGGAGGCAGGTATGGTGTCAGAACTACTTGATTTGTACACCTAGGGTTTTCCAGATGCCAGTTTGGGTGAAGCAGGAGCATGCAGTGATGTCCTAACTTATTCTTAACACTTCTTCACCTTGGATGTCTTTACATAGTGCTAGCAGGTCTTGATTTACCAAAGCCTGGTTGGGTTCCCTTCTTTTCTCCATAGGTATACCACGCAGACAGCTGCTGCTGCTTGGGACAGCTGTCCCATGTCCTGCCGCTGACCTGGGCCATTTGTGACATTAGAATGGCTCCTGGCATGAGAACAGGAAGGGATGACCCAAGAGCCACTTTCCTGTCTTTCTGTTACCTGTTTCCAAACTATTCGTCAGCCCTATATCATCTCCCTTCTTTCATTTCAAGCTGTCCTTCCCATGCCGCCTCTTACTTCAGTTCCCGTCCCCTAGTGCCTGCCCCAGATCGTTAGAGGATGACTGCAGTAGTATGAAGTGTGTGGTGTTGTTGTGGGCTCTTTGGGTCAGTGTTAGTAAGGACAGATTGTATCCTGTAAGACAAACACTTGACTGCTAACCACAAGGTCTGCAATTCAAATCCCCCAGCCACTTCTCAGCAACACTGACCCAGTGTCACTGTGCATCGGAACCGACTTGATAGCACTTAACAACAACAACTTTAACTCATGCATGTCATGATCACAGGTAGCTTGGGTGACCTGGGGGATACAGCTTATCATAAATATTCAGAGAGTTTCAAGTGGTGAAATGGGAGCCAGGATGAATAACCAGATAACCCAAAGCTTCTGACACATCCCTAAACGTAGAGAAACATTGTAGAGGTTCAGAATCACTTAGTAATTACATTCAAAGATCATTCACCAGGGTTTCTAGAGAGTGGATGTGTTCAAACACCCCAGCTTTTCTAAAGGGATCCTTAACATGATCAGTTTAGAAAAGAACTTCTATCCTTGGTAACACCATGAGGACTGGCAGGAGTGACGGGCAGGTGCTGAAACCATGGTGTGCACACCTTGGCCCGGACTCAGTGATGTCATACGTGATGCAGGTTGTAAGGGGTGATCCCAGTGACCCCACAAGTGGCCCTCAGTATATATTTTAAAACAGTCAGTAGCTGTTTTAGTTAGATACTGTTTTTCACTCGTTGTGCTTTCTTTGGAGTTAACATATGAACTATGGAAATATTGTTGATTTGGAACAGGTCTAGTTCAGACAGTCTGGATAAATTACCTAGTACAAATGAACAACCATGCTTTGGATAATCTACATTCACTTTTCACTCAGTTTTTATGAACTGTTTGCTGATCACGCTAATGTCTTTTTTATCTTAGAGAGCAGCAGACCGGAAGGTGCAGAGTGTGTAAATCCTGGTGAAAAACTCATAGAAGAAGGTTCCCTTCATATGATCTCATTAGGATCCAAAGCCTTGATGATCCAAGTGTGGGCTGACCCCCACAGTGGCACGCTTATCTTTCGGTATTCATTATCCCTGTCCCCCAAGATAGATCATGTATTTAAATAGCTTATGTAAGAGACATGAATGTGACATTTTCTAACAAAGATCATTATAGCAAAGGAGTCCTTGTGTGGTGCTGCAGGATAATGCACTAGACTGCAGAGTCAGTTTGACCACAAGGTCAATGGTTCAAACCCACCAGCCACTCCTTGGAAACTCTATGCAGGGTCCTTATAAGTTGGAACCAATTCGATGACACTTAACAACAACAACATAGCAAAGGAGAAAAATCTTAACTTATAAAAAGAAGATACACGCTAACAGCTATTTATACCACCTTTGTAACATTATTGTACCCCCCAAAATCTGTAATTAAATTCTTATATATTTAATTCTCTTTTAGATTTTAGGCAAAATATTTACTAAAATCCTACTTTATGAAATATTCTATCTGATTGTAATGATTTTAACATGTTATTATTGAATAACTGTTTTCTCTTCCGATTTTGGACTCCAGGTGTAGTGCTGTAGGATCAACACTGAACTGTGAACCATAAGATCAATGGTTCAAATCTACCAGCTGCTCCCCGGAAACCCCATACAGGATTGCTATAAGTCAAAACCAACTTGATGGCACTTAACAACAAGTTCCTGTTTTATATTCAGTAAATGACAAAAACAAAAACAAACCTATTGCCACTCGTCGATTTGGACTCATAGGGATGTAACAGGACAGAGTAGAACTGCCCCGTAGAATTCCAAGGCTGTAAATCGTACGGAAGTCAGCCGCCACATCTCTCTACCATAGAGCAGCTAGTGGGTTTAAACAAAGGAACTTTGGGTTAGCAGTTGAGCACTTAACCCCGGTGCCACCAGGGCTCTGTTTATATGAAATGTTGCTAAATGCCACTGAGTCAGTTCCGACTCAGAGCAACCCTGTAGAGGATTTCCCAGACTCTTATGTCTTTTGAGGGAGCAGAAAGCATCATCTTTCTCCTGCAGAGCGATTGGTGAGCTCAAACCACCAAACTTATGGTTTGCAGTACAGTACTTCTCCTACAGAGCCACAGTGCTCCCTTTATATTATTGTTGTTGTTGTTGTTGTCAGGTGCCATCGAGTCGGAACCGACTCATAGCGACTCCATGCACAGCAGAACGAAACAATGTTCGATCCT